TGGGGTTGGGAGAATGAACAAACCACAGAAGGCATTTCTCAGTGAGTGGCAAGTGTGGAAATGTTTCTTTCTGCTCTTTGTGGACATGAATAAATCACAAAGAGGGGTGAGGGAGGAGGGAAGCAGCTCATGAATGATTTACAAATGCGCATTTGTGAATTAATGGCCACAACAGCAAAGTGCCAACTTTGCTGCAAATTGGTGTATTAGAGAAGGGCTGCCTGATATGATGCAGGATGATGAGGGCCAACGCTGGCTCTGGCTGAGGAAATAAACTTGCCAAGCATCCAGGGAAGCTGTCCTCAAGGTACCTTGAAGTCTGCCTCTTTGCCTGCCTAGCAGTGCCCTTCCCACACCAGAACCCCTTGCTCTCTGCCATGGGAAAAGGTTCTGCAGGACAAAACCTGCCCACTTGGACCAGTTCCCCTAAATGTAATGGAACGAAGCACCCAGTAAGTGCTACTGAAATATATGAAAAGTTGAGATGGGTGAATTCATCAGTTTGGGTTTCTCTCTGTTTCTCATTTTGGCTTGCCCTGTTTCTGTGCATATATGCTTTTTTGAAGTCCACATGGAACTGTGTAGGCACATGTCCAAAAACATGTACATGCACATCTCCCATCGTATGCATATTTGTAACTAGCTTTGCCATTTAATGCATCTTGCAAGTAATTTCCCCCTAATAGAATGCATTTTTGCAGGTTATTTTCAATAAAATAGACATTTTTTGTTTATACATTCTTTGGCTGCAGAAACTGTATTGCAGATTTCAGAGAAGTCCAAATTTCAAAGGGCAGCTGCATTTCGGTTTAAACCCCGCTGCTGTCCCACTGCCTCCCTTACCCAGGTTGTGAAGCAGCAATGGCAACAGTGGGTTCTGGCAAGATCTCATGTGCTCCATGAGTTCTTGCGAGATTTCAGTGATATTTCATGAGCTCGTGCCAGAAACTGGCACCACTTCTCTGCTAGCAATGGAAGCAGTGGGGAGCAGGGCATCTGCTGGGGTGCTGCCTCTGGGCCTTCTGCCACCCAAGGCAGCTGCGTCACCCTGCCTCATAAGTGAGCCTGCCCTGGCAGGATGAAGTGACCTGTCTCAGGCACACCTCTAAAGAGTGGAGGAAATATATGAAGTCAGGAATTGGTGTCCAATATGATTCTTTAAAGTGTTGACTTTAAACTGCTTTAGGCAGCCAAATATCTTGGGTGGGCCCTGGGCGATCCTATCCCATGCTGCCAACTGTCCAGGGACGCGGACTTATAAAAAATATTGGGGGGGCCCGGGAAAGCTCATGAATAATAAATAAGCTCATGAATATGCAAATAAAGTGGCTCCGGCCCTAAATAGGGCAAGCCACGCCCCCCCCAGCCAGCCGATTGGCTGGCTGGGAGGTGTGGCCAGTCGGGATTCCCCTGTTCTCGCGGGGGCTGAAACCGCCAGGAGGAAGGAAATTCCCCCCGGCAGTGCCTTGGCAGTGGCGGTGGTGCTGCGAAGCAGCGAGGCAGGAGCCCCCACCCCCGGCGCCCGAGATTATTGGGGGGGCTGAGCCCCCCCAAAAAATTTTTTGAGGGGGCTCGAGCCCCCTCAAGCCCCATGGGGTCGGCGCCTATGCAACTGTCTTATGCTGACTTTTGTGCTGGTTTTGGCAGAACTTCTGTCCTGGTTCATTTCATTGCAGTCAGTTTTGCAAGCAACCCTACCTTTGTTTGCTGGGATTCTTTTCTCTCTCTCTCCATGTTTTGCCTTCTCCTGTGGGATATATCATAGCTTGCTTTAATCACCAGCACTGCTCAGTGAGACACACATTTAGGGCTACCAAATACATTTATGATTTCAAATGTATTTCTCCTATGAGGAGAATAGGCAGGGCAGAATTTGGTGGGAGGAGAGTGTTACCAAATCAGCTGGGTCAAGGGTGGACCCTGGCAAGAGCTAGCTTTTGAGATCCAAATACTGGTTACCTGCCAGAACCTTGTTCTGTTGTTCAGACTTGGCAATTTCACCCTCTGCTAGGTGTGCTATGAGTACATGAAATTGCCTTATGCCAAATGGGACTGTCGACCCTTCTAGCCCATAATTGTCTACTCCAGGGGAGGCCAACATGGTTCCCCTTAGATGCCCCTGAGTTACGGCTGATAGGATTTGTAGTCCAACGTTTAGCAAGCCCCATGTTGGCTATCCTTGGTCTACCCTTTTATTTTGTGGTTTTATATTTTGATTTTATTCTGTGAACTGTCCTGAGACCTCCAGGTATAGGGCGGTATAATGATGATGATGATGATGATGATGATGATGATAATGTAGAAGACTTTCTCAACTCTACGTCTCAAAAGACTTTTGAATGAAGTATCAGCTCATGCATGCAATGCATCTGCACTATTCTAAGCTGTGATGCACCTCCCATTCCCTGACCTCCTGCACTGCAGGGTCTGGTGTGCTAGAAGAGGGAGGGCTCCACTTTAAGGTTAAAGGTTTGGTTTGGTGATCTTTTTACTGCACCCATGATTACGTGGCTGTAGTTAACAGCACATAGGTTCAAAAAGCCTTCTTCTATGACTTGATAAACCTGGGGGGGGGGCAGCTGAAATCAATGAAGAGAAGAGGATGCCCTTAGAAAGGAGGAGGGAGAGCTCTGAAGTTGAAACAGCATTCTTGCTTGCAGGGTGATGCATGACGCACACTCCAAAATGGGGGGAAATTGCTTGCTTATGTGTGAGCAGCTGCCTACATACTCCCGACCTGCATGCCAAATCTTACAAACTAATTTCTGTCAACCAACGAATGTATAGTTAGAAACAGGCCCATGCAGAGCTTGTCTGGGTGGGAGTCTTGTCTTGGCATGACAGTGTAAGTCCAAGCGAGGCACCTGGCCAACTGAGCACTCTGAGGCCAGGGGCATGGACCTGGTTAGAAACAGAAGGATGTGACTTGTGGGGAGGGGAGAAATGCCTGTGGAACTGGACTCATTCAAAACTTAATAACAACACTAACATTGGAATAGTGTAGCCCCAATTGAAAGAAAAGACCAGGTGGCTAGGAACTGAAATCAAGGTGCTTATTGCATGTTGTGTGTTTATGTGTGAGAGACAGATGAGGGAGAGAAATCATGAATGGTCTGGCAGTCATGGTGAGGAATGGTTGGATCTGTCAATTTTGGTTTCTCTCATTTTTTCCATTCTCCACACTTCCACATTAATTTCTGAATCTTTTTAAAGTCTTCATGAAAATTCACCAGCATTTTAATGCAAATTTCTCATAATACACACATTTATATGCAATTTTGCCCAATATACACATTGTTGCAAATTAATGGGATTCATTTATGTATGCTATTTTCACTAATATATGTGTTTTCAGATGCATTACATAGCTGAAGAACTGCACTGCAAAATTTGGAGATATGTGGATTTCAGAGGGTAACCATCCTTTGAATAGTTTCAGAAAGTGCCAATTAAGTAGGTTCCTCTCTAAATTCAGACGGAATTGGCTTTCTCCACCATCCCTTACCATGGCTTAATGGGGTTGGGGGCCAGACAATGGCAGCTATGGCCTACTGGAGAAATGTGGTTTGTTGAAGCAAGGTGTAAAGGTTGTATTTTAAGCTGGATCTAGTTCCCAACAAAGCAATCCAACCCACAATCAATTGATTTTTAGGAAAACACAACTAATATCCCCTCCATCTCTACAAATATTTGCTGCAGGCCTACTACTAGTCCTCCACAAACTTGGGCCCTAAATACTTGCCTTCTGTTGCAAACTCGTCCTTCCCACTTAGCAAGATGATCCTACTCTGAGACAAGAAGAAGACCAAGGGCATTCCCAGGAACACAAATCTCTCTCTGTGGAGCATGAGGCATACCTCACCAAGCTCTTAAGAAAAACTGGGATATGTTAATTGTGGACCTGGTTCCAACCTGTTCCATGATGCTGCAAGCTAGCTGTTGCCACTAGGCTTTCCAGAGTGGCTTTGGCAATTACAGGCTTTGGACACTAACATGTTTACTCCATCAAATATTTTACTGCCGTACAAGAAAATGCCAGCAAGCAGAGCTGTTTCCTATTCAGATCTGCTCTTGAGGAAGAGCAGTGTGCCAAAACCTGGTCATACTGAATTAGTTCAAAATACTGCCATTACCATCAGTGAATGCTGGAAATGGCACACAGAGGACCAGTGTGCCAGTGTGCCATCTAGGCAAAACCTAGATGATAGTGAAACAAGGTAAATACAGATATAACTCAAGAAAACTGCAGAGAAAATGGAATTTTAGCTCTGGAGGAAATCAACATTGTATTACATGGGATTGTTTACTTTGGTTTCAGACATCACAGATGGTCAAAACAATCCCTTATGTGAGCCTGTTGAAGTCCCATGCTTTAGGAATTTAGGATGACGTGTATTTTCCATAGTTTCCCCCCTTAAAGTACTGATGAAGAACGTAACAGTTAGTCATGGATGGAAACCCTATCATTGATGTTTTCCTGTTCCAACATCATTTCAGATTCAGGTGGATAGCTGTGTTGATCTGTCATAGTCATAATAAATATGAAAGATAAAAAAATCTTTTTTAATAATTCCAGTTGCACCTTTAAGATCAACTAAATATAAGCTCTGAGACCTTTAGGAACAATATCCAAATTTTTGCATTTAGTTAGAAATAAAATATCAGTCTGTATCTGTGCAAATTTTTTTTATAAGGTTGATGGACTTCCATTTCATGCTGCTCAATGTGGTGCCTTCCATAATTACAGATTCAGGTGGATAGTCATGTTGATCTGTCATAGAATCATAGAATCATAGAATCATAGAGTTGGAAGAGACCACAAGGGCCATCGAGTCCAACCCCCTGCCAAGCAGGAAACACCATCAGAGCACTCCTGACATATGGTTGTCAAGCCTCTGCTTAAAGACCTCCAAAGAAGGAGACTCCACCACACTCCTTGGCAGCAAATTCCACTGTCGAACAGCTCTTACTGTCAGGAAGTTCTTCCTAATGTTCCTAATGTCATGCCCTTCCCTGTGGAACCAAGTGCCATAACAGTCATCAACAGTTATAAGGTTGAAGCGACCTCTGCTTCAGAGTATCTGACAAAGTGTGTATTACACACAAAAGCTCATACCTTGAAAGCTTATATTTAGTTGATCTTAAAGGTGCCACTGAAATTATTAAAAAAAGATTTGTTCATCTTTCATCTTGTTATTTATTACAACATCATTTCATTTATTATCCCATAAAACCTGTTGATTGCAACATTCAATATCATGTTACTTGGTATGTGTGGGAGGGCAAAGAAGGTGCCATTATTTCTGGAGTCTACCTGTAGCGTCTGGCTACATGCATCAGGTGGGCTTCCTCTTCCCTTCTCTGATAGTTAAATAGAGGCTGGGAGCAAGTTGGCAATGTAGAAATCTAATGTTCCTTCTCCCCTTTCCTCCCTCACAGAGCCTACAACAAAATAAGTGGAGTGGGAAGAAACAGGAATGCAACATAAGGGGAGACATTAAGGGATATGGAGGGATGTCAGTAAGTGCTGGCTTTCTTGAGTCACATAAACTATTTCAAGGACATTGAGGTTATCTACCTATATACTGGTTGCCTGACACTTTAGCCTGTATCCTTTGTCATTATGGTGTATACATTTCTTCAATTCAATTGTCCCCACGTGGTGGAGAAAGCATAACATATACAGAAGGCTCCTAGGGTGCCTGGTTGCTGTATATCTGTGCATCCATTATATTCTTGAAGGTCCTCCTTCTTCCTGCATCCTCTCTCCCACTGGTTTTTAAAAGTGCATTTCATTTCTGAACCATCCTCATTTAACTTGCGTGTTCCAACTACCCTGGCTCCGAGGGGAAAAAAGATGTTGAAGCTCACAAAACCATGAATGATATTGATGTCACAGATGTGAAGAGCTAAAATGAGCTCTAACTCAGTTGGCAGGTTGGAGGAAGAACCTCTGTAGGATGTCCTTTTGCTAGCCATCAATCTGTGCTGCTTGCCGTGGTAGGTTAAATATCTATATAGGGAGAAAACTTGCCCATTAGTAAAATATTCACTTTTGTTAAACCCTTAAAGGTTTTGCTGGTGACCCTATTGCAGCTGGCAGATTTAACATGTGCAGTGTAGAAGCCGTTACATTGGACACACACTCCTTGTTGCTTGGGATTTTGCCCTATGCAGTCAGCTTGCCTTGGCATTCGCGTTTGGAACACTGAGCAGGCTTCCACCAGTCCCCGTTGTGGCAGTGACAGATGTTGCACTCATCCACTTTCACTTCGATGCCAGCCGGAATGATGGTGGTTCCTGCAAAGCAGTTTGGACCTGGAAATGTACACACATAAATACATTAAACAGTGAAGCAGATTGGGGAATATGGATGTCTTTATGCTGGGTACAATTCAGCCAAAAGTGGTTCACTTTGAAGCTCCACTGATGACAGAGCGCAATAGTTAAGCCCATGCTTAATTCTCTTCCATTGAAACCAGGGAAATTTACAAGTGCCTTACTTGGGCGGTATTGAGCCCACTGAATTGGACCCCTGCCCCTTTGTTTGTGCCTTGCTGTCAGGGTAGCAGTAGGGCAAAATGCCCCACCCATTTACATTCAGTGTGGCAGCACAACCTTACTAAAATGACAGTGCTAGGACAACAGTCCTCCACCACACCTCAGAGCAGCAATTAACACACGGGGCACATGACATACACCTCTGTGCCAGCTGAGGCAGCTGCCTCACTCTGCCTAATGAACAGTCCTAGGCAGAATAACTGATCAGTAAATGCTTGGCAGCCTTGAGCTCCACTGTTCTCACAGCAGAGTGTTGTTTAGGGGCAAAGCTTAAATGCGAACCAGTCTTTGGGTTGGGCAATGCGGTCACAATCTATTAAGATGAAGGTCAAAATCAGGGCTTTTTTTCAGGGGATACTCAAGGACACGCAGTACTGGCACCTCTTTTTGTTGTTGCTAAAAAGTGTGGCACATACTGTAACAACTTCACGGTGAGTACCAGCATCTATTTTTCTAGAAAAAAAGCATTGGTCATAATTACAGTGCAAACATCTTCTAAACCTAATACTCTAGCTACTTTACTCATGATCCAACACCCATGGAAGCAGGAAACAGCGGAAAGGTTCCATGTACCAATATAAACAATCTACTGTGTTGACAAACAGTAGAAAATCAGAAAAAAGACTGCTGAGCTGGCATCTAAGTAGACCCCAGACCATATGGTTTCGATCAGGATCCAAATGCATGAATGAGAAAAGAGGATGCTTCATCACAGCCACATTTCCATAGCTGCTAATGGAGCATGTACTCCAGGGGTCAGCAACCTTTTTCAGCCGTGGGCCGGGCCACTGTCCCTCAGACTATGAGGTGGGCCAGACTATATTTTGAACAGAAAAAAATGAATGAATTCCTATGCCCCACAAATAACCCAGAGATGCATTTTAAATAAGCACACATTCTACTCATGTAAAAACACCAGGCAAGCCCCACAAATAACCCAGAGATGCATTTGAAATAAAAGGACACATTCTACTCATGTAAAAACACGCTGATTCCCGGACAGTCTGTGGGCCGGATTTAGAAGGCGATTGGGCCTTAGTTTGCCTACCCATGATGTACGCCTTCCTTGATTGCATACAGAGTATGGCGAAAGAGTGGCGCAGCAGAAAACAAAATAGAGAGGAGCAGGTCTAGAACTATGGGCTCCTGGTTTCTTCTTATGGACAAGGCTATCATGAAATGCTGGCAAGCAGGAAGTGGGACATTACAGAGGCCACAACATTTCCCATCACATTGTCATTGAAAAATGATGGTGTTTGATGTCACACTAAGGTGATTTTTCCACTAGCACAAGCATTTATGCTGGCCAAATGGGACAATCTCTGGACCCAGAGATAATCCTCCGAGTCCCTTCTTTGTGTGCCTCCTCCATGAGAGGTCTTGAGGGTGGCAACACGTAAACGGACCTTTTCTGCAGTGGCTCCCCATTTGTGAAATGCTCTCCCTTGGGAGCTTCGGCTGGCACCTTCATTAGACACCTTTAGGCGCCTGGTGAAAATGTTCCTCTTCAATCAGGCCTTTGGCTGATTAACATCAAATGCTCTTTTAAGTGTGATGTGGGAGGGGAGAGTATTGGTTTGCTGTTTTTCCCCACTATGTATTTTGTGGTTTTTATTTTGTAATTTTAGTTTGTGAACCACCCTGAGAGCTATGGATGAAGAACAATACACAAATTCAAGGAAGAAGAAGAAGAAGAAGAAGAAGAAGAAGAAGAAGAAGAAGAAGAAGAAGAAGAAGAAGAAGAAGAAGAAGAAATCTCTCCCCCCCACACACTGTTCTGGGAAGGTGCAGAGGTCACAAGCAAGGAGTGGGGGGGGGGAGGCTATTGCACTAGCAAGACTCATTGTACTGGTTTCTGCTGGCACAACAAATTAGTTGAGTATGACCCAATGTGTGTTGGAGGGGTGCAGTTTCTGAACTTTTCTTTCAAATGTCTATGGCCAGCATCTTTACTGTGATCCTGGACCAGTTATTAACGGCATGGCTGGTGAGAGTGGAACTGAAGGAGCTGCAGGATGATCATGAATGTGAAGTCAATCCACAGCATTCATGGGACACCTTACCATTTTTTAAAATATAAAAAACAGATTTCTAGGTCCTATCGTTGTAGAGCAAACAAACCAAGCAGAGGGAAATCGCATGGAAAAGCACAAAAACCAATGCTTAGGGTCTGGCTTCTTTCAGACCTCCCCCCCCCCTTTATCATTTCCTCTGTGTACAAGTTGCAGACTGTCAAACTCTCTGTTTGCGCCCTCCACTGCCTTCCTATCTATTCTTCCAGGCCTCAGCAGTCTATATATTCTGCAGATTTTAATTTTCACTCAAGTTGGCAGGAGAGCGGAAAAGAGAGCAGGAAATACATCCTACTTTTTTGCCATTCATTCTAGTTGCAGAATCTCACCTTTCAGTTGCAGAATTATGATTTACAGTATAGGAGAAGTCTAGCTTCCCTTTTGTGTGGTCTTCCTCCAAATTCTCTCTGTATATTATGTGAATAAAGTTTCTTTTCTCCAAATGGTTTTAGGAGGAGAAATCTAATAATGAACATGACACATACTGGCAATTTACAGTGATTGCAATCCTATAGAAGTGCTTGCCTACTGGAGTGAGAGAGGTGGGGTCAAACTCTCTGGTGATGGAAAAAGGCACAGCTCTCCCAAAATCTCTTTAGAGCTGCAAGCGGCGGGGGGGGGGGATATAGTCCCTGAAAGTGCCTCCTTCCTTCCTTGGGTCCTGCGCTTGTTATTTGAGAACAATGAATTATGTATGGCAGAAATGATTTATTCATACTCCAAACAAGATTTATTATGGATTTTTATTTTATAAAAGAGATTTCTCTAATCTGCTTATTATCTTTCCCCTCCCCCGACTCCATTTATTTATGAGAAAATATCAAAAACCAAACCACTTCTAAGTCAGCAGGAATTTGTCTCTCAGGCTCATAAAAGTCTTACTAAAAACAATGGCCCAGATGTTTATATACATGCATGCTATGTTAATCTCAGACTCAGGTATACATAATTGCACTGTGCCTCCGTTAATACCACAACAAATACAAGGGGAATCAAAAGTAGGAGTTTGGGCAATGCTATTTTATTTATGACTAGGGGCACAGACCGAAACCTGGCGGATCATTTAACTGCTGTTCTCCAGCGATTTAAATCGACACCCTACTGACTCCCTCTTTCCCTGGCCTAATCTAAGAGCCAATCAGATCGTGGGTGATATTCATCTCTCACTGGAGATGGGTAAGCAGCTGGAGGGTGGCAACTGTGGCCCTGGCTGGTGCCCACCAATCATAGTGAGCAGGAGGGACCAAGGGTGTGACTCATGGGGAGGCAGGTGGAAGACTAACTTGCAGGTCCAGACCCTGCAAGTGCCATTTCAGCCGCTCCAGGAGTATCCATACTGGACGATTGTCCTGTTGTTTTGGCATATCTAATATGGCACAAAGGCAAAGAAACGAATAAAAAACGAATAAAATTTTGGGAGTACAAACTCATCGTTAGAAGCCATATTCTGTCTTCTGCAGTGTGATTACACAGAGATTCGTAGGTTCACCCCATAGCCATATGTTTGAAAAAACCCTTCCCATTTGAGACTGCTTTCTGAGAAGATGAACCCTGTCCCTGAAGCAGTTGCAGAAGTCCAATTCCTTTCTCATTTACATTTTGGAAATGTATTTACACTCGGGAGAGTTGTTTACATTTCTCTTCTTGCTTTTCTGGACCAAAGGAAATGATGATGGATTTCACACTTAGCCCCCTCTATTTTCTGCTCAGAATGCTCACCTGTAAATGGAAACTATTACAGGCAAATAGTTCCCATCTGCTCTGTCTAAATTGTAGATGAGCCTAAATTAGAGGTGCCAGTCTGTTTAATGGGGAAGCAGATCCAAAGCTGTGTTTAGCTTGGTCATACTCACTGGCCTCAGTGTGCCTCTCCCATGTACTTTTGTGAATGGGGTGGGCTGACTGTGGTCTGCTTTCCACGCCAGAGGCATTTACATTTTATAGCATTGGAAACCCATTTCTTTCATCTCATTAACTTTATGATCACTATGGGCTTTATTAGTGCACTTCTACAAGAGCCCAGGTTTTTTAAAAAAGAAAAAGAAAAAGAAACCCTACAGCAGGCCCCAAGTCTGAAGTTGCCAGTTTTAACTACCTCAATGCAATTTAGATTGCTGTCAGCCAAGATAATGGATGGCTGCTAGATATTGTTCACATTAAAACGATGCCTTCTGCTTTGCTTATAAGCAGCACAATAAATTTTGTTCCCATTTGTATTGGCTTTTACAGCCCACCCACAATAAAACTGTGTGAGTAAGACATCCCCGGGTAACTGTCAAACCATCTTTCTGGGCTGCTTTGCACATATCCATCAGTTCCTGTCCAAGTGGCAGCAACCACATTGCTCAGCACTCTGTCTTCTGCCTATTGTTACAAATTTTGCATGCCTCCCCCTCTCTCTGCCAAGTGGTGGCAAGAGCCCATGGCCTTCCAAGCAGTCACCCACAGTCGGTATTCCTTTGGAGAATTGAGACACAGCAGACTGTTGTAGCTTTAAGAAATATGGTTTATTCACCTATTTCCACCTTCAGCCTCCATGGAGTGAGTCAAGATCGCACAACATGGTCATTTCAAGAGGGGCTTGTCCCTCACAGAAGGGCAGCCCTGGGATCCAAGACCTCTCTCCAAGCCAGCCTTCAGCCAGCCTCCCAAGATGGGTCTTTCTTCTCCCCCTTCTTCTTCCCA